CTCTATTAATTCTACTAATGCCTAAAGGATAGGTACGTAATGTGATGGTATATCCATATTAATATTTGGATAAACCAAATGTTAATTAAATATGACTATTAAAAACCGACCAATTAATCGGCTTCGGCCAACATTCGGCCATTTTTAAGCCTTCGGCTAAAATTCGGCTTCCGTAAGAATTAAACCAGAGTTTTTGTCGAAGATAAAAGTTTGAATTGAGCTTCAAGCTTTTATTTTGCCATATACAGGGTGGCGCATATTTAAATATCTTTAAATATCTCAAAAACCAATAATTTTAAACATATTTAACCCTTATAATAAATGTCTTTTTTTGTGCCTAAGAATCCAAAAATGAAATAAAATACCGGGTGTTCCATAAGAAAACATATAACTTTGGTATGGATCTTAGCGCTGAGACACCCTGTATATTTCAAAATAATTTTAAATTGTGCACATTGACTCCTCACATATACCCATAAAATATTTTGTTTCTACATCTTTCCGTTTTCGTATAATCAACCGAGGTGAATGAGGTGCGCCACCCTGTATAACTGTGTATTGTTTTGCGGCAATTTGCTAATATATCCAGCAGTAATAAAAATGACTTCAGAGGATATAAATTTTAAATATTTTTTTAATTTTTAAGATTACTACGACCCTCTTTCCTCTTATCCTATCATATTTTTAATTTAAATTTACCACTTCATAAAAATATCTTCGGCTTCGGCATCGGCTTCGGACGAAGGTGATGACCCACAGAGCGAAGTTCGTCTTCGGCTCCGGCTGCTGCCAAAAAATTACAGTCGGTCGGTCTTTAGTGGATATACCGTATGATCGAAAAAAAACGGCTTCAGCGAAGGCTATGAAATGAAGATGGCTGTCATTTTTTATGTAAAATTATATGGGAAATGGGAAATGTCATCGATCGTCATTTCCCAGCCAACTGGACGCCGTTCTTTTCGATCATACAGTAGCATCCATCATTTAACTTTACGTGCCCATCCTTTCTATTCATTGGAAAAATTATGTTTTCCAATTATTTTGAATTATTGATACTAAAACAAAATTAAATTCAAGGATAAATAATAAGAAAATATTTCTAAAACTAAAAGATGTTAATTAAATACAAATTTAATCAATGTTGTTCAATTAGCAGATATATTTCATAGAATACTGAAGTATTTTTGAAAATATATTTGCGATGTACATAGTGATTCAAGCTTGATTTAGTATCAGGAAGGCGAATGAAGTAGAAAAATAATATAATTAAAACAGCTGTCGCCTTTTTTGGTGATTTTTTGAAAAATTTCAAACCTAATGTAATAATAGTACATGTTATTTTATTAGGAGTAAAAATGATTTTAGTGAGGCTGTAGTACGTTGAACAACAGACCAGGCACAAAAAGTCATTTTTACTTTAACTAGAATCAAAGTGTTATTTTTTGTCAAACGTCACAAACAATTTCTAAAACATTTCATTCATTAAAAATAATATAAAAATATTTAAAAGTAATACCTTGTAAGAAATTATGTATCGAGAAACTATGGTTACGCTCGTTTAAATTTGACACTATCTGTCAGTTTAATAATATACTGGTATTTTCGCACTTTTGTGATTAGGCATGAAAGTGCTTTATTTTTATGCCTAGGCGTTAAAATTACTTTTTAATACTATCAATCACGTCGCAAAAATTGATACTATAATGACGTTTGAAAAAAAAGTACATTTTTACTCCGAATAGATATATAATAGATATGTTTTTCAAACGTCACAAATAATTTTTTAAGCAATTTCAAACTATTTTAAAAATCGAAAATAATATAAATAGTTATTAACGTAATAAGGCCGATAAACAACAAATAACGGCCGGGCTGAAGTTTGTGATCCGAGGCGATAGCCGAGGATCATAAGCAGCCAAGGCCGTTATTTGTTATCGGCCGTGTTGCGTTCTAGATTTTTCGTCATACTGCAGATTTTTTAGAGCAATAAACACTACTATTTAATAACAAATTTTATTGAACAATAACACAAGTAAGGATAAAAAATACATAATGTCTTATACTAAAATTCATTTTTCATGATAATGAACATGGAAATTAAAAGTGCACTTGTTGTTCTTAGAAATCTGTAATCCTTCCCAGGGATTTACAGATTTTATAGAAGAAGATGATGCTACTGAAGAATGGCAAATATTTGTATCCACTAAAGACACATTATTTTTGGAGCTATCATGAAAAAAGTTGATTTGTTATTTTCATTCTTTTTGGAAACTGATTTTTCTATGTAAGTTTCTGCCACTGTTGAAGACTCCCATCCTCCTAGCTCCTTTAGCGATAGTAAATCACCACCATTTTCGGCGAGCATGGTTGCTGATGATCTACGAAATGAATGCCCTGTATAACGTTCTGGATTCTCCAAGTTCAAAAATTTTGCAATTTTCTGCGGTACGCTCCCGATGGTATGTATACCGACGATTTGCTTAACACACTTGCCTTTCTTGTAACCAATGAAAAATTTTGGATTGTCAAAGTTACGAGGACGCAGGTTGATGTATTTTTGTATAAACCATAGGCATCAAACGGAAGGCCCGTTTTGGAATAAGAAATTTCCTATCTTTCTTATTTTTAGTATTTCTTAATGAGACAAGAATATTTTTCTCCGAATCTTCGAAATCATCAACTGTGAGTGACCAAAGCTCGCTGCGCCTACAAGCTCAAGAATACCAAGCACCAATACAATTTTTTCGAGTAACCAGGTGTAATCATCGGCATCCAGTAGAAAATTATTTATGTCATTCTCCGACAGAACTTTGGCTTTTTTGGTGAATAACCTTCGTTTTGCGCCTCAGAAACATGAACAGTTTACCAAATCTATGAACAAATATAATTTAGATGAGTATGATTAAATATCGAAGAATATAATGGCTTTTTACCTTGATATGTCGATGTTTTCATATACTCTCAACGCAAGCTTCAGCATGGATATCTTTGTCCACAGTGATGTAGGAGAATACATTTCAGACATTCTTTTAGCATAAGCCAGCAATACCGCTTCATTTACGCTGTTTATACTTCTATCCTGCCGCCACTTCAAAAATTGTCATATTCCTGCTGATATCTCTCTCTGGTTATAGTCGGAAGTAAATTTTGAGTAGCCGCAGCCGCTTCCTCCTGTATTTCCAACGGAATTTCTCGCGACATCTCGCTATATGGTCTATTTTCCCAATTTTTGAAAAGTCCAACTGACAATAAATAGTCATTGTTGCAGGTGACAGACGTTACGATTACCTTAGAAACTTAACGGCCGCCGGCCGTTATGATAACGTCCGGCGGACGTTATATGCATCTTTTCCATTCTGATTTTGCTTATGTTATAATAATATAACAATATAGTATGACGAAAAAGTAATAACTTGTAAGTATTTATTGAAGAGAAACTATGGTTACTCTCGTTGAATTTGACACTTAATGTCAGTTTAATAATAATATATTTTTGTACTTTTGTGCTTAGGCGTAAAACTGCTTTACTTTTATGCTTAGAGTAAAATTACTTTTTAATACTATCAATTGCGTCCCAAAAATTTATACTATTGTGACGTTTGAAACAATATACTATTGTTTTACTGGGAGTAAAAATGATCTTCTATGGCGAGGCTGTACATTTGGCGTTACATACGAACCACAAAAAGTACATTTTTACTCCGAATAGAATATTCTATTTTTTTTTTCAAACGTCACAAATATTTTTTAAGCAATTTCAAACTATTTTAAACATCAAACAATATAAAAAGTAGTAACTTGTAAGTATTTATGGAAGAGAAACTATGGTTACGCTCATTGAATTTGACACTTAATGTCAGTTTAATAATATATTTTTGTACTTTTGTGCTTTATGACGTTTGAAAAAATAATATATTGTTTTATTAGGAGTAAAAATGACACTTTCTGTGGCGAGGCTGTGCGTTTCACATACTGACATACATCTGAGGCAAAAAAAGTCATTTTTACTCCGAATAGAACATGCTATTTTTTTTTCAAACACCACAAATAATTTTTTAAAAAATTTCAAACGTTCCAAATAATATAAAACATTTAATAGTCATACCTTGTATATAATTGTATATTGAGAAACTATGGTTACGCTCGTTGAATTTGACACTTTTATATATCAAATTCAACAAGCGTAACCATAGTTTTTCGATACAGAAATCGTACAGAGAGATTCTGTACCATGTCTGTACCATATTTTGTACTCTGTGTATGCTCTGTGCCTTGGCGTTAAAATTATTTTAATATTGTCAATCACGTCGCAAAAATAAATACTTTTGTGACGTTTGAGTATAATACAATTTTTTCGTGATATTCAGAGATATTCATATTTCTAAACAATATTTTTATCTCTACGAATTTAGTAATTACAAAGACGAAAACATTACTTTTTCTGAATGTTTGTTACTTTTCTGTTCTTTATTTTCAGAATAAAGTAGTTTAGATGAAGAGCGGAAAAATAATTATGATGCCGCATTTGTCACTTTTAGAAGGCAATGTAGGTCATCAAAAATATGTGATTATCGATGATAAATATACCATATAAATTTTCAGATAAAATGACAGATCATCACAGATGGAATTATTTGGATCCCATGGAACAACATTGCACTGATGTTTTCCAGTTTCCTGGTTATATTCAAGAGCCCAAGTTCGAATTACCCTGTACATATTATTTTGCATCAAATTTATAATTTGTAAACTTTTATATTTAAGGTGTTGTTATATGTCAGAATCATATAGAAAGATATTTGGCTTTTTAGTAAATGACATTTTTTACTTAGAACTAAATATAAGTGTATTTGGTTTATATTTTTACCCCGTGTACCTACGCATATACATATATGTATATTCTTCAATGTCAGATAAAACTAATAAATTTGTAAATATTATCAAATAATTATAAATTGCGGGTTAAAAGGCAAATTTTCGTAACAACAAATTGTCAATAATAATAAAATTAAGAACTTCGAAAGTAGTTCAAAACTGTAAAGAATTCTTGAAAGATAAGCTTCGTCCTAGTAACATAATTTATTTCTAGACAATATGAAAGTACTTATTAGCTTAATAGTTTTGGTTAGTTTCAGCTCGATATCTTATGGTGCCTATAACAGTTATTATGACAAACACAGTAATTCCAATAATGGACAAGAGCAATTGGAATGGTCTGATTACAGGTATTCGATAAGCGCAGGGAGTTGTAGTGGAAGAAAGTTGGTCGAGGAAGACGTTCAAAAAAATGCTGATCCCTTCACTATTAAAAAATCCACGGTAAGTGTAAATATTAATTTAATATTGAGGATACGGTTACTACGTACCTCTGATCGGGCTGGTGCTAAAGGGTATAGGGGCTCGTGCCCACCCACCGCCAAGATAAAATGACGATATTTTATGTTACATTTTAAACGATCAAATAATAACGCTCAGGAGCCGCAAATACACCCAGACTAAATACATATACCGAGTGTTTCTCGAGAGTGGCTCACCTCTATAATTTTTTAAATTTTTCAGATAAAAAACGAGATTTGATATGTTAGTATATGATATAAATTAGAACCGATTTACGTATTCAATTGTTTTTGGCCACTTCCTGTTTCACAAGAAATTACTATAACTTTTGATTTTTAAATGACACTCTGAATAGAATGACATATCATATACCAACTTTTGACATTCTTGCATTTTTATGGTTTATTTGAAACGATTCAAAAATATGTGGTTTATAACGATAATTTTGCTCGAAATACAAAGTGTGTGGTACCAAATTATTCGTAAAAAAATATTTTTCCAAATATGCTAGTGCCACCCCCGTCCCGTTTGAAAAAAACTGAGAAATGATTAAAAATACGATTTGGGTATCTTTTAACCGGCCAGGACAAGACACTTAACATATTAGACGATCAAATCTATTTTTTCAAGGCTCCATGATTAAAAATCAGTGTTTTAAACACAACCATGGCATATTGATTATTACTATTATTGATTATAAATTTCAATCGGCCATGGCACACCATGGCAGATTGAAATTTAAAATACGATTTTTTAAACAAAAATGTGAACAGTTGACATATGATACAGCATTCTATTCAGAGTGTCATTTTCCATCGAATAAAGTAAAAAAAAAATACCGAAGATGCCATTTAAAAATCAAAAGTTACTCATTTCCGGTGAAACAGGAAGAGACCAAAAAGTATTGAATATATGAATCAATCCTAATTTTTGTCATATACTAACATACCAAATTTCGTATTTTTTTCTAAAAAAAAAATAACAAAGTTACAGGGGTACTTTTTGTGAGGTCATAAATATTAGCCTTTTGAGGTCATAAATATTACCCCTTTTTGTGAGGTCATAAATATTAGCCTTTCAGATTTTTGAAAAAGTTTATGGGTTAATAGATATTTAAAAAAAACAAAGTTTGACTATTTCAACAATTGTCTCTAATTCCATTATAATTTATTTTAAACAAAAAGATTTTAGAGCCTGTCATTTTTGACATATGACACAAACACATGTTTTTTTTTTAAATGGAAACCATAGTTGGCCAAGCTTTTCAGCCATATAGCCTATAATTCTCACTACTGTTTAACCAGCGGATCTGAAGCTACGGAAGGAATGCGAGAAAAAAAATCGATATTGCCACGTTTATCTATAAAATTGCAAAATTGCCAGACATGAACTATAAATTTCATACATTTTTATTATATATTAGTTTATAGTAATGTGCTTAGCATATATTCTGACGTATATTACTAAGGAATTTTAACGTAGTTCATATTGTTCGATATGTTTTATTTAATAACTTATTTCTTTCATTCTGTATAATCTGCTTATTATGGAAGGTGAAGATTTTTCAACGATAACACTGGCAAACCGGCATCGCCGCGCATGGCCGCCTATTCATCGAACATGATTGACGAGAGTACGTCACAGGATTTGTTACCACGCGGTTGCCATGGCTTTTACGCCTTTCCTATTCGCTATCTTTATCCCCAACTTCAGGGTCTCTTCTGAAAAGAATAGAAATATTGAATACTATTGAAATATCCAGTGGCGGTGTCATTCTTTTGATCATTATTACTTTCTTTCATTATTTTATACCGGTTATCCTAAATTTTATTCCTATATTTTTCCTATATTTAATAGTTAAGTTGTGTTTTATTGTTTTGTTATCATGTTATAATGTTTTTCGTTCGTAGTTTTTAATTATTAATATTAAGTTTGATCGTATATTTGTGTTTTAAAATGAATAAATTTGTTAAGGGTAAGACGCTACATAGCCAGACAAGAGAAATAATAGCTAATTTATATAGGTAAGTAGAATAATAATAATATATGTAATTATTAGAATATTAAAATTAAATATTTGCTAAAATGAAAAGCACGCATTTTACCTAAATATTTTAGCTAAACTAAAATAAATATAAATAAACGTGGATGAAATCTCATTTGGTTTATTTCCTTGTGTTCATAATAGGGTTTGCGATGAAGAAGCTACAGAGAGTTCGCTTAAGTTGCCGCTTAAACGTAAACTTGAGCGGATATCTCTTTATACCGGAGTTAGCGCATCGGCTATAAAAAATTCACACAGAAGATAAAAAAGGGTTGGAAACTAACCCCGATAAAATGATATCCAGCCCTGGAAAGAAACGACCACGTGAGACTGCTGTTGAAAAGCTCCACGACTTTGATTTCCAAGTGGTCAGGTATTTGATAAATAGATTTTATCTCGAATTCAAAGTCGTCCCCACAATTAGAAAGCTTTTGCAAAAATTGCAGGAAGAATCGAATTTTCCTTTGGTAGGGAAACGCTTAGGGGGTTATTAAAATCAAATGGATTTTTTTGGCGTAAATGTCAAAATAACAGAAAAATACTAATGGAGCGGCCCATTATATTGCAGAGAGAGATATAAATATATACGCGAAATTCGAAAATATCGCCAAGTATTATCTATTTGGATGAAACATGGGTAGACAATGATCTAACCTTTAAAAAGTGCTGGAGGAGCGATACCATATCTGGTTTAATAGGCAATATTGGATTTACTGGTGAGTAAAATTATGTTTTGTATGCGCTTCCAAAGATTTTTTTTTGCTGGAAATAGTTATATCTAAAATTATGTATATGTTTTATAGAAAAAAATATAGTTAGTACCATAGATTTAGGAAGAATGTCTTTGGTTAGTACAGATATATAAATAAATATACCTCAAGACTCAGTCTTGATTATCTTCTGATGATGCTAACATGGTTAGCGAAACGTGCGTCCAGTGTAAAAGTAAAGGTGTTTTGGTGTATTGTGCTGATTTAGTGTTTTATTTTGCTGTGTAAGACCAAAGGTTCCAACTCCCATCAGCTGAAATTATTTCTTCTATTATATCTATTAACAACACATAATAATAAAATGATTCAAAATATTTAAGGGAGCTTTAATAAAAGCTTTTAGTGTTTATCTGCTAACTCAACAGTAACGATTCAAACAGCATAAGTTTTTTGAAAAAAATTATTAATCTGAATATTATATTTATGATACACATTTTTTTCATAAAACATCGTACGCCCATGCCTATTTTATGAATGAAATTGGGCGTGTTTTGTTTACAACTGCGTTACCCTGCCGACACCCCGTAGCTTCAGATCCGTTGGTCACACTATACGTAAGTTATTTCAGAAAAGGTTCAAAAAATCCGCCATTGTTTTGAGTACATAAATGCATCTTTTTAAAACTGAATTTCTAGCTATTCTCACAGAACGACCGGTCGACTTAATTTAACTTCTCCTGTACCGCCTCTTCGAGTGCCCTCCCTTAATTCATAAGTTCTTTTCTATACTTTGTTAACCATACCGTATAAAAAATCTAAAATGGATAGGTCAGGTGATCAAGGAAGCCCATGCAATTGGTCCACCTCTTCCTATCACTCAGTTTGCATAATTATGATATAAATATTTTTTAACATTTCATTATGGGGGAGGGGGGGAGGTGTGTCATAATGAAAGTCATGTTGGAACCACTCTTTGGATGAGCGAGTATCTAAATTTATCTTTTCTAACATGTATCCATAGATAACCGAACTAATGCATGTATCTTTTCAACGTATCCTCGAAAATCTATGGACAAAAAAAGTTGAACTAATAATCCTACACACTTTCCTTCATTTGAAAAATTCATATTTACAATTTTTGTTTATTGGTCCAAAGTTTGGATGTGACAGTTTGTCATCTCTGAGAGCAACGAGGAGAACTTGTTTCCATGGCTAAGTGAAATCGTTTAAAAATTATAAAAATTGGCTATAACTCAGTAATTTTTCGAAAAAAAGTAGTTCTTATATAGCGGAAAAGCTTGAAAAATGGCGCTTTTTATGAAGTCATTCCCAACTATGGTTTCTATTTATAAAAAAACATATGTTGTAATGGTTTGGTTGTGTAATAGGACAAAAATGACAGGCTTTAGAAAAAAAACGGAGAACGCAATCTCATTAAGGATGTGATTATCTACAACTTTTACCTGAAAACTTTTTGTCTAAAATAGATTATATTGGAATTAAGAACAATTTTTAAAATCGCCGAAATTCGTTTTTTTTCGAAATATCTAGTAGCCATGAACTTTTTCAAAAATCTAAAAGGCGCATATTTATGACCCCACAAAACTGCAATTCTTTTCCCATTTAACAGCCTCTCTATCTCCAATAGTTTTAATTTTAAATATTATATGAAATTGGGTACATTGGGGTCTTCCATAGCTTCCTGTGAATCAATTTTTGTCTCATTAACTAATATAGATATCAACGTAGCATGGTTTGTGGAGTTTGGTTTGGTTGCAAAAAACTTTCCTATGAGACAATATTCACCATCGACTATTTGCACATACTAAATACCTAGATGAATGTCTTCTTTGCTTACTTCTCAATCGCTCTATATGTTGGTTTTCATCAGGGTAGCCATTCCAAGTAGCCAAAATTCCAATTGAATTTGAACTGTAATTTATCTAGGTCTGGCAACAGATAACTGCTGCAAATATCTGAATAAATCTAGCTGTGGTGCCATTTCGTTCAGTACTGTATACTTACACGTAATTTAAATATAGGTAAATTTGATTTTTTCATTACTGTGGTATAATTGCTGAAATAACTGTCTCTAAATTATTCAACTTAAAACTAGAAAAGCATCATACCCCCTTCAAAACTATTAATTTGGTAGAAAAGGTAACAAAGAGCAATTTGTCAGACACAATAATTCCTTTACTCTTTGTAAATCTAATGTAGGAAATCAAGAGCAAATCTAATAGACTGATATTAATAGACAAAGAAGGAAACATCTCAGAAAGTATAGACATATAAGATTCACCGTTGACAAAAAATGTGATTGACTCCAAGCACAGAGTGTCATTTTCTATCGAATAAAGTAGAAATATACCGGGGGTGCCATTTAAAAATCAAAAGTTGTAGGGTAGACGCACCATTTGTGGTCATTGACCCTGTTGTAGCCACTTCTTTAAAAAATCTTAAAAATTAAGCTTTTTCAAGTCATTGTGACAACCGTGCATCTATAATTTTCTAAATTGATATATCCAGCGTCATATGCAATAGAAAATATTCAAATTTGGTGTAAAAGTCGGCCGTTAGACCAAAAAGTAGTAGCACATATTTACTAGATGCTGTTTTCTTAACCCATTTCTTAAGGATAGCTAGGTAAGTAGAACTCAAATTATTAACAATAATCTGTATTGGGGTTTAATTTTCCATGATTTTTATAAATAATATACATCTGGCAACTGTTTTTTAAATTTATTACATTCAAATAATTAATATTTAGGATTTATTTCTGTAGCCACAAAAGGCGTAATTAAATTTTAATTATGTTCTACTTGTAGCCAGGTTATGGCCAAAAATGGTGCAATCGAAATCTAGTTGTGACCACATATTATTTAGATTTATAATGTAAGTGCAAACGACGGATAACATAATATGAAGAACATTTTATTTGTTATTATTTAGCTTTTAATAAAAACTGAATAATAGTACCTAAATATAATATCCCAAATACAATTATCGGCCAAGATTACCAATCTGAACATATACCGTCATCAATTTTTTCTTCAGATGCGAAAACGAATATAGCAAAATAATATAGATATAGAACTAAATGGAATAAATATGAACGAATGCGATGAAAATAAAAATTATGAGAATTCAAAGGAAGATGATTCAGGACCACTAGACCAAACCATGCAGGAAAAGGACTAGTAGACATAATTATGAACTTAAGGATGATGCCCGGGAAGATGTTAATCTTTAAAAAGAAAGAGGCTAAAATCTACCATCAGTCATTACCTATGATAAGTGGGTTGAATTAATGAAGAGAAAGGAGAAAAAAACAAAAACTGGCAATAAAAACTTTATAAAAAAGAAAACAATTAAAAAAAATAAAATTTAAAGAAAATAAAGATCTTTCTAGTAGAAATGAAAACGAGAAACCAACGCCATCTTAAACTTCTGTGACATCTGCTGAATTAAACATAGGAAATTTTATTATTTTAAAGTACGGGAATCAGTTGAATCCAGGAAAAATATTACAAATTGAAAATAATGAATATTATAGCTGCGAAGCTGCGCAATGGTTCAAATCTGCGGCAATTGGAAGTAAAAATGACTTGCTTTGGTACAAACTGCGTGTTATAACAATGAAAATTGATGAATCTAAAAAAAGTCAATTCAAGAGACATATATGTGGTTACCTGAACTAACAAATATTCAAGAATATTCTGATAAATTAGTGTACTTTTCTTATTGTTCCTCACAGTAGCATTAATATGTACCTAATTTTTATTTGACATTTGTGTAACAGATAAAAAGCAAAATAAGGTATTAGGTATCACTTGATTTGTTTTAAGATAGGAATAAACGTTCATGTTTTTTTTGTTAAAAATATAAACAATTAAGTACCAAATGTCTTTTTTTTAAAGAAATTAATAAATAAAATAATATTATTTGCTTAGTTATCTGCAAAATTCAATATAGAGAATATTTTTGCAAGAATGTGGCCACAAATGGTAGCAAATGTGGCCACCTTGTGCCAAATGTGGCCACATTTGCTACATGGGAAAAATCGTATGTTTTCATAAAATAATTATTTTCTGTTTATTAAGAATACAAATCTTTACAATAAAAGCAGATTTTGAAAGAAAAATGTTTGGAGAAGCACCAAAAATTTTGTTTTATCTCCAAAATTAACTACAAATATTTTTTCTGATAAGTCAAACTCTAAAAATCCCTTAACCTGGCCACAACCGGTGCTTCTACCCTAGTCATATCCGGTGAAACAGGAAGTGACCTACAACAATTGAATACGTCAATCAATCCTAATTTATGTCATATAGGTACTAACATACCAAATCTCGTTTTTTTACTTGAAAAAATAAAGTTATAGGGATGAGCCACTTTTGAGACGCATCCGGTATATTAACTCGATCTGAAGACTAGGAATCCTGTTGCAGATACAAGGTTAAAAACCGTTACAAAATCATCCTCTTTGATAAGACGTACTGTGTTTTGTATTGAAGACGATAGTCGGCAATACAACTGTTGTAGTATTTGTTCATACCTGCTCCTAGCAGAATAAAGAACAAGACGCCTGGACGACCTAAAAACCGACCTAGAAATCTAAAATATAAAGACCTAAACCGTATCCCGTCACACAGAGCCTTTGAAAGGACGCATATGAGACTGTCTTGCCTTAAAAGCGCGCCTCTTTTTCAGCAATAATTATACTGCCCAAGGGCAGACAAGTGCGAGAGTGTACTCATAGAGAAATCATACTTTTTTTTGTTTCTCTGGCCCTCTCCCTCGCCCTCAGAGCACTCGGTCTAGAGCGGGCTCTACCTTCATAAATATCAGTAGGTTAGTGAACTACCACGGATAAATATCGGGTATGTGGCAGTCCGATTGCACGATGAATTCCGTAAAAAACAAATGATTTTGACATTACCTGAAGGGTTAATACCCTTGAGAATCCGATATGAAAGATCAGATATGCGCCGTTTGTGATACTAAAATATCTGTACTCTGAAGGACAGAGCCAGCGCGGCGGATAAGTAATGTCATATCTGGACTGCGGGACTGATCGCTTGCGTGTATGGGCGGTTAAAATGAAATCGAGAGTAATACACTATATATACATATATAAATGATATAGTGTATTATACAACATATGTATAATATATTAGTATTTATATATACCGGGTGCGTCTCAAAAGTGGCTCACCCCTATAACTGTTTTATTTTTTTAGTTAAAAAACGAGATTTGGTATGTTAGTATATGACATAAATTAGGATTGATTGTTTTCGTTCACGACTACAACTTTTGATTTTTAAATGTCACCCTCGGGATTTTTTACTTTATTCGATAGAAAGTGTCACTCTGAATAGAATGACATATCATATGCCAACGTTTGACATTTTCGCATATGGTTTATTTGAAATTATAACGGTTCGTAACGAAAATTTGACTTGAAATACTAAGTGTGTGGTATCAAATTATTCGTAAAAAAATGCTAAATATGCTAATGAGCCACCTTCGTTCCGTTTGAAAAAATTGAGATATGTTTAAAAATACGACTTGAGCATTTGGAGAAGGCACTAAAAACATTAAACCATGAAATCTATTTTTCCAAGGCTCCTTGATGAAGAATTAGTGTTTTTTGCATAGCCATGGCACTCTAGATTTTTAAAGTACTACTTCTAGAATTTTAAAATACAATTTTTTATTAAGTGAGAATGTCAAAAGTTGACATATGATATGACATTCTATTCAGAATGTCACTTTCTATCGAATAAATTAAAAAAATTTCGAGGGTGCTATTTAAAAATCAAAAGTTGTAGTAATTTTGTAGTAACCGAAATCAATTGAATATGTCAATCAATCCTAATTTATGTCATATACTAACATACCAAATTTCGTTGTTTTATCTGAAAAAATAAAAAAAGTTATAGGGGTAAGCCACTTTTGAGACGCACCCGGTATACTACAGTTGCAGATATATTATAATCCTCACTTCCAAGAACACTAGTTCTTTAAATATTTTATTTGGAAACTATAGTTAAAGTTAAAATTATAATCATTTCTAATTTAATAGTGGTGGTGTAAAAAATAAAAATATTTATTTACCAATTATCATATTAAGTGGTTAATATATTTTTTTTGTTTGCAGTATTCCTGGTTAGGAAGAGGGATGTTTGTCATTACTTGCATTAAGGTAAACAATCAGATGCCCAGAGACAGAGATGCAGGAGAGGCTAGAATTATTGAAGGAGGTGTTGGCCAGGGTTCCGTCAAAATAGAAATGACATCGAAAAACTCTAAGGGATTATACTTCACGGTTGAAATCTGGGGCCAAGAAACAAGTCAATCGTCAGGAATAGCTGTTCTATCCAACACTCCTCAAAAAATATTATATATGGGTGGAAAGAAATACTGTGAATGTTAAAAAAAGTTTTTCTAGTACAGTAAACAGTTAGTAATGTTTACAATTTATTTTGACAAATGGTTATCTAATGTTTGTACACAATATATAATTTATCTACGAAATATAATTACAAGTGAACAGAAACAGACAGCTTTAAAATTTATTTATATCACATTTTTTAATCCAATAGAAACACCAACTAAACAAATAAGTTTATGTATTATTTCATATTGAATACATTGAAAATATTACAAACAAAAAAAATGTTCATACAATTATTAGGAATAGGCAAAATATAAATACATTTCAAAGTTTATTGTTGCTAGAAAATAAACATTAAAACCCCATAAAGAAAACACCATCTTATAGTAAATCATAAACCGTTTACTAATAAGTTTGTATATCTTATAAGTAATATATTATAAAATCTTACGTCTTATAAATATTCAAAAACAAAATAATCGACTTTCAGAGATCACAAAAATTTGTTAAATAAATTTAGTAACTATTATTCTAACCTGTCACTACCTATATAAGAACAAATAAAAAAAATGTTGAAAGTATAAAATTTCGTACTATAAAAACACTGTGGCAATTCCTCTAACGATTTTTTAAAAGACAGTAACAATGGCAGTCATGGTTTCGCAAATAGAAAGTTTAATATTAAGAAATAATACCAAAATATCATTAGATAGTATTTCTAGGAGATGAATCTCCCTATGAGGTTAAAATCGATAAATACTCACAGAAGCTGTATCCCCTAATAAGTAGTGCCAAGCTAAAATAATATTTATCTTGACATGTAACTGATGTAGTTTCTAGAAGTTCAAAAGTATATTAACCTAGCATCCTGAGGTGCCTGCTCCATTGGACAATATGGACATTTCATTCTGTAAAAATTATTAGGGTAAACATAAAATGAAATACATCTAATAAGTAAATTGTTATGAACAGGAAATTTAAATGCACCATGGTGTATTTAAACTTAAGCTGCCACTATACCAAACAAGTCTGCCACTATACCAAACAACAGCAAAATCACTTGTTGATTCCTTTTAATCAAGTAAAATTGGTAACAGGTTCAAAAGACAGTTCATCAAAACTCACATTTCCCACAACAATCCACACCAAAACAATCGAATATCACTTAAACTAGAGTGTAGAATGTAAAATGAGCGGAGAGGGGGGGGGGTAATCACCGTGACCTTAAATAAGATCAACTGTGTATTAGGGTGTCCGTTATTTCCCAAGTTGATTCTTTTTTTGCTGCCGCCCTCTGAAGTTTTAGTTTTTGGACTAAAAAAAAAATAGCAACGTAAACAAGCTCTTAATTTTGAATTTAAACCGTGCCGGAATCATGATATTTTTCCCATTAACATGGAATTTTCTAAACTTTTCCATTTAATTTTTTATCTCCAAAGCAAATGAACCTACACCTGCGACAAAGGCATATTCTAATACAAAATTTTACGCTCTACAAAAAAGGTTCTTACGGTTTTTTCCATAAAAACATTCTTTTAAAAGTTATCCGCGGGCAAAGTTATGCACATAGCTTATAATCAAATTTTTCTATCATTCACTGCAAATTTTAATTGCGCCTTTTGATTTTGACTAAAAAGGGATCTAGAGCCATACTTTTTTCAATAAAACAATATTTCTTTACCAACTTTAATATGCAAAACTAATATTGCGCCATCTATGATCAATTGATCAAAACTATAATTTAAGGTTGTTGTTTCATTGTCTTTCAGTGTTCGAAAATATGTGTATCAATTGAAAAGAATGAACAAATTTCGAGTGGTTTTTATGGTAAATATTACTTGTATCGAATTAATTAAATTAATTTAATCGTGAATTTAATTTAATTAATTAATAATTTAACTTAATTAATTAATAATTTAACTTAATTAATTAATAAGTTAACTTAATAATTTTATTTAATTAATAATTTTATTTAATTAATTCGATACAAATAATATTTAAGATAAAAACCACTCGAAATTTGTTCATTCTTTTCAATTGGCACACATATTTACGAACACTGAAAGGCAATGAAACAATAACCTTAAATTATAGTTTTGATCAATTGATTATAGATGGCGCAAAATTAGTTTTCCGTATTAAAGTTGGTAAAGAAATATTGTTTTATTGAAAAAAGTATGGCTCCAGATCCTTTTTTAGTCAAAATCGAAAGGCGCAATGAAAATTTGATTATAAAATATGTGCATAACTTTCGCCGGAAATAACTTTTAAAGGAATGTTTTTATGAAAAAAACCAAAAAGACCTTTTTTGTAGAGCGTAAAATTTTGTATTAGAATATGTCTTTGTCGACGCTGTAGGTCCATTTGCTTTGGAAATAAAAAAATAAATGCAAAAGGTCAGAAAATCCCATGTTATTTAAATGCGAAAAGTATCCTGACTCCGGCACGGTTTAAATTCAAAATTATGAGCTTGTTTACGTTGGATATTTTTTTTAGACCAAAAACTAAAACTTCAGAGGGCGGCAGCAAAAAAAGAATCAACTTGGGAAATAACGGACACCCTACTGTATATGTTATTAAAGTAATACCCTTCTTATGGGATCTTCCTATTGTAGGGAAGACAGGGTATTCCCATCCTCCTCTGACAGCAGATATTCATCCTCCGAGGAGTGGACATCTACCTCCTACGATGGTATACACTAGGGTGGTCGTTAAAAATTATTTTTTTTCGGCGCCCCAAAAATTCTTCCTTTTGACGAAAAACTACGGGGATTTTTTTTGTTTTTTTAACAAAAATAACGCGTGCCGACAGCCAATTGAAGTTTGCTAGGAAGTGACAATTTCAATTGGCAGTCGGCACGTGTTCTTTTTGTTTAAAAATAAAAGAAAAAAAAATACCCGTAGTTTGTCCCCAAAAGGAAGGATTTTTGGAAAAAAATAATTTTTAATGCCCACTCTAGTATATCTACACCCTTCTCCAGTTGAGGTTTGGCCCTCCGGCTCCGTGCCCCTCAGAGTCGAGGAGCTTGTCTCCGGCTGAGGTACCCGTTAAGTAGAGGCTAGAGGATCTGTCTCCATTTTCTCCACATCTTTAACTCCTAACCTAACTGGCGTTTTCCCGAATCTATAACAGAGGATATCTCTCTCCTTTTCTCCTTTTTTTTTGGTCTGTCTTCTTGGATTTGAGGTCAATTAATAAAAAAGAGAGTTGCCTCTCCTGTAGTTCCCTTTGGGATTGGTCCCTTGGAACTTGCACTGTTAATGTTCTCAGTTTTGCTAGGTGGTTTCCCTCCAGCTTCACTATAAGACTTAGTCCGTCCACTTCTACAGAGCCTCGCATGTAGAAGTAAAAGGTAAATACAACGGGGTGCCCCCTCGTTGAGACGAGGAAAAACTAGTCTTCAATCTAGCCACACACGTCCCTTTGACCTGGTCCCGCCATGGTAGTATTTAGGATTTTGATGAGGTCTCCTCTAGGTCTGGGCAATTAATCCAACCCCCCCCCCCCCACCTCCATGCCTTATGCCGGTTAGACATGACCACAGACCCTAGATCATATATACTTATATATATATATATATATATATATATATATATATATATATATATATATATATATATATATATATATATATATATATATATATATATATATATATATATATATATATATATATATATATATATATATATATATATATATATATATATATATATATATATATACGTGGATAAATCAACGCCATAAGTTTAGTATTAAAAAATATGTCTCCAACATCACGACATGCCATTTTCAAACCTTTTTTATTGCACTTATGAAACGTTCAATAGGTTTGTCTTTCTCGAGGATCTTACTTTGCGCATGCGCATTAAAAGTTTCACGTATTTCCAAAATAGTCACAATATTATACGGTTTAGAAAGTACAAATTATACATTATTATGGAAACCAACTTTTCCTTGTCATCATATTGTCATAATCATATGTCATAATCTTATTTCCATTGTGTAAGGGCGTTTTTATTTTAAAAATTGTATTAATTACTCTTTTATCGACCGCTTTTATATAGCCAAGCATGCAAGTGTGTTCAGTGAGAAGTTAATTTTAAGTTTGTGCAACTATATTTCTATTTTTTTTTCGTTGGACTTTCTAAATACTCGTAAAAATTACTAGAAAAGTGTTTAGTGTGTGAAAGTTCTAATATAAAGGTCTCCGAATTATCTTTTCATAGGCAAATAAAGTATTCAGTTGTTCTTTTATTTATATTAAGCCACATGCATACTTTCCGGTTAGATTTCCTAAGAATATTGATATTCATATGGAGTGGCTAAATGTATTTTTTATATAATTTAATTTTTGCGACAGTAAACATTCAATTTATTGTTCAAATAAAAGCATTTTACAAATTAAATTTTTAAAATTAATGTTCAAAGGCGCGTGGACGATAGGTCCTCGACAAGGATAGATAGAGTAGAAGCACCGCGTGTGTGCAATTAAAAAAGAAGATAAATGGATGTCGTTGATATGTTTGCGACAGTTTCCATAGTGATTTACTTATCCACATAAGTATATATGATACGGTATAGGGCCATGGCTTTGAATAAGAAGACTAAGGAAGGAGCATATCAAAAATCTTAGGTACACCGCGATGGGCCTCAAATATGGCCGACTTAAATTCCGGTTTATCAGTGTCGTTCTAATTTTATTTAAAAAATATAAAACTATGATGTAGGGTAGACGTGGGATAGACTCAATAATTTTTTGTTTTATTTTACGTTGTGAATAAATGTTGGTAGTTATTAAAATTGTTATAAAATATATAATTCTAATAAAAATAGATAAGTTATAATAAGTATTTATTAACACAAACATCCGATACGCTACTGAAGCAGGTAAGTCAAATTAACGTATCTAAATTCTTTGACATCTAATCTTTGACAAGTAATAAATAAAAGCTAAAATGCAAGAAAAATATATAATTTAGTTAATTTAAGTGAATTTCATAAATGATCGGTTTACTACACGTATGTATATTATATAGTCACTTACTAGCGAAAAGTTGTTCCATTATTTCACTCAATTTTTGCCGAGATCTACCGCACGCTACACAACCAACTATTTTAGAGTCTTTTCGATAAATCGCGATAGTGTCACTGTTAATTTAAGTTCTGCCACAATTTCCATCTAGATTTACTACCTTTATACAACTATCAGTAGTAGAATAAATAATAAATAACATAAAATAAGCTCCTTAAAGACTGACAAATCCACAAAATTTCAAATCAAATTCAAATGTGTCAAATGAATCGTCAAACAGAACTGTCAAGGATCCCCACCCTAGAGAGCTTTTATGGTGGCTTTTCCGCCCACCATGCATAAATACATGGATAGCATTATGCTCCTTCCTTAGTCTTCTTATTCAAAGGGCCATGGTACAAAGAAAACAAAGTATGATCGATAGCGGCCCCAATTTCGTTCAGTTTGCGCATATCACCTGTGACGTCATATGCCATACAAAAAATATCCACTAATAAAAAAATGACCTAAAATAGGGAAGAATTAGGACATTACCCCAAAAGTTATGTCAAATCATCGAGCTTGACATTTGAAAAATTATTTTCACCTTCGCGCGGAGCTTGCCGACCAATGGTGCCGTTTATCACATGTGACGTAGTGGCCAACCTGCGCAATATCATACCTTGTTTTCTTTGTATCATGGTATAGGGCCTGGTATGACAGAGAGGGTAGTCCCATTCAGCATCGGTTATATGTCTTGGTGCTCACTGACCACGACACTACAGCCAGGTACAAAACAGCGAGATGCTCCTTAGACCCAGTCAAAGTACCAGAAAGAATTCCCTCCGGCACCCGACTAGGAGTTTCCTCACCAACGGCAAGTTCACGCATCTTATAGGGAAAGATCGCTTATACTAAGAACTAAGCTTAAGCAAATCATTTTGCATAGCATCAACAAATTATTTAGAAATGGCGCGTAGAGCAGTTTTATGTATATTTAACAAAACTTTAGTTGCACGTCATCAATGACACCATGCGTCGTCTTATGGAGTTTGCTGGTGGTCGTATTATAATGTGCAACCAAAGTTTTGTTAAATATAACTATATATGAATTTTAAAGTTATCCACGAGGTTATACACAGAAGTCGCGTCATCTGCCTACTGAATTCTGAATCAAAAGGGATTCTTTTTCAGACTTTTCAATTTGTTGACGAAATAAATAATTAGTAAGGCATTTTTGTTTTTATTAAAATTTTCAAAGGTTTAGCCGTGGAAATCAGGTTTCAAGAATTTCCAACCTTTATAACTTCATTTCCATAAATCAGGCGTATAAATGTAAAACCCGACAAGTCTATTGAAATAAATTTTACAGAATACACAAAAGATTATTTAAAATATTACGAATATTAAAAAGAATAATAGGTCTAAAGCACTGAATTTATCTAGTGCAGTAACCTTTACCTACAAATATCTACATATATAAAATGCTAATGTTTATCTGTGTCGTCTCTACTGAAGTAACGACTTGCTCTAGAAAGTTGCTTTTTTTACTAAAAGATAGCTAATTTGCTCTTCTAAAAACTGTCGTCGCCGGATTTTTTGCTTTTCATTTAATTAAAAAAAAATAAATAAAAAGTATTTTTTTCTGATGTCGTGGCGGATGCGCCAGGCTTCAACTAGTCTTGCACAAAAATGTAATTCAGGGAGTTTTTCTTGGGATAATGAATTAAAAGGTGTATAGAACTCAACAGTGTTCAAAAATGTGTGACTTGTCGTGTTTTGCATTTAAACGCCTGAAATGATAAATAATGTCGTCGTAAATTATATAGAAATCTTGTAAAAAACTCAAAAGGGTATCACATATATTAGTGTTTGCGACTCTAACGTTGACAGTCGCAAAATATTTTAAAACTAGGTCTAGACATATGTAAAAATACATATTTTTTTACTGACCAAATACAACAGAAATGCTAGACTTCTGTAAAATAAATAGAAGTTAATAAAATATAACCTCAGATTTTTCCAATTATAATTTATCAAGCACATTATTAATATACCAAAGTACCCTAAATAAAATAAAAAACAAAAAGATGTGTCTATTAAAATAAAACATTTTCTTGTTTAGTCCTCAATTGATATTATGGGGCATAAGTTAATATTCTTATAATAAAATAAAATATCTGAATAGTCTGGACGCCAGTACATGGTTTATACTTTGCTATTATATCTGCACAAATGTATACAGGGAATCCCAATATTCCGTGGACATAGAACTACTACGTATTTTTGGAATCAAAATATTGCAAACAGAAAATCTGTCGTCGAGAGTTGACCTCAAATCCAAGAAGGCAATAGAGAAAGAGGGATATATCCTCTATTATAGATAGGGAGAATACCGGTACCAGGTCTAAGGAGAGATGAAGTTAAAGAGGTGGAGAAAATGGAAACAGATCCTCCAGCCTCCACCTCATGGGCACCTCAGCCGGAGGCAAACTCCTCAGGTGTGAATGGCACGGAGAGCCAAATTCGAACCGTGGGAGGTTGTGTACCCTCGGAGGAAGAACTGTTGTCAGAGGGGGATGGGTTGGGCTGTACAGGGTGGGTCAAATTCGACGCCTTAAAATGGAAACACCCTTTTCTATAGGAGATACACGAAAACTAATATCGGTATCTGGAGCTCAATTTTCATCAAAAACATGATGGTGAAAACCGCACATCAATATCTGTTACTGTTTCGGAGCTACGGGGTGTTTTTCAAAAATGTGCATTTTTAACAAATCACTGTAACTTATTTGCTGTGGAAAATTTTGTATTTTTATGAAAACATTTCCAAAGCACATTTTTACGTAGAATTTAATGGTTTAAGTATATTTTTTTTAAATTAGTAATTTAAGAGTTATCAACAGTAAATTTGTTTTTTTATTTGGGACACCCTCTATATTTTTAATTAGCTGAAAAAAATTTAAAATTACCTTTCCAAAAATATAGCACACTTGATATTTTGTTATAATTCCCTTCGAAATATAGAATATTTAAAAGTTCGCCACTTTTAACTAGTAGCACAGCTAGTAGGCTTTGAACCCTTTATTGATGATATGCCCTTAATGGAACTCGAAAACATAGTTTTCCAGCAAGACAACGCACCGCCTCAGAACGCTGAAGTTGGCAGCAAATTTTTGCAGCCAATTTCAAGAATAATTGAATAGCTAACCAAGATCCCAGCCGTTGGCCGTCGAGGCCGCCTGACTTAGTGCCCATGGATCTAATCCTATGGATATATTTGCGGAAGAATAAAGGTTCCATATTCTTCCGTATAATCTAGACAAGAATTGGAAATACTTAGCAGTTATGAGAGGGTATCTTTCACCCCAACTGAGTTAATGAATTCCGCGAGAAATGTTCAAAAACGGCCCCGTCGGTTCATGGACAAACAGCAGACGGTCGATATGTCGAACACCTGTAGCAAAATCTCATGTCTTGGTTTGCTATTTATTTTTATTGTTATTAGATATAGTTTAAATGTGTTGATGTTGGTTAAATATATTTTAAATTGTTATAAAATTCTGCATCTCTCATAGCAAATATTATTTTCCTTTTAATTGATTCTCACAGCTAGAATTTTATTGCATTACAGCCGGTGCCGTTCAAAGCCTACTTATTTAAAGCGGGCGAATTTTTATATACTCTATATCTCGAAGAGGAATGGAGCAAAATATCAAGTGTGTTACATTTTTGGAAAGACAATTTTAAATTGTTTTCAATAAATTAAAAATATACAGGGTGTCCCATATAAGAAAGCAAATATTATATTGATAATTCTTAAATTATTAATTTTAAAAAAATTATACTTAAACCATTAAATTCTACGTAAAAAGGTGCTTTGGAAATGTTTTCATAAAAATACAAAATTTTCCATAGCAAAAAATTTACAGCGATTTGTTAAAAATGCATATTTTTGAAAAACACCCCGTAACTCCAAAACGGTAACAGATACCGATATGCGGTTTTCACCATCATGTTTTTGACAAAAAATAAGCTCTAGACACCAATATTAGTTTTTGTCTATTTCCTATAGAAAAGGATGTTTCCATTTAAAAGCGTCGAATTTGACCCACCCTGTACAATAGATCTTTAAGGTGGCAGTTATTAACCCCCCCTCTCATTCATTCTACATTCTACAATCATCATCAATAAATATCGAGTACAATTTTTTTTATAATTGTATTTCAATATCAAGTTAAAAAATATTAAGTTATTAGTTAATCACCAAATAAATATTTTTTAGTCACATATAAATTTTGATCAACTTCATGATGATATGAAAATATAAAAAATAACAACATTGCTCTCCTTCACCGTTTTGTCCCCCCATTTCCTTTTAAAAAAACGATGTACTTAAACAGCCGTTAAACGGTAGCCTACTAAAATGCCGTTAATAGATATTGTGACGTCGTTCATGTCGGCGGAAAGTAATGCCTAGCCTTAAGCTTTTTGCGAGAGCACCTGTGGGTCAGTGGCTGAGGCTATCGCTTCGTAAGCGGGAGAATGGTCTGTGTTTCAAATCTCACGCCGACCAAGACTTTTTTATATTTTTTTTGCTTCTAGCGTGATCTTATTGCATTGGTTTCACACTTTTTGGTTGGATTGGTTTAGTTATTTGGCGGGTTGGTTAGCGTGGTTATTTGGAGGGTGATAATTCATTGGTTAGTTGGTTATTTGGTGGGGTTGGTTGATTTTTACTAATTTATATTTGTTTTTTATATTTTTTATCAGTGTCGAGGTTAGTTGCGTTGGTTATTTGGTGGGATGGACAGCGTTGGTTAGTCCTTATAAAATTCCTATATTTCATAAAGCCGTCAAGTGCGTCACATCAACGACGTCATACCTATTAACGGCATTTTAGTAAGCTACCGTTTAACGGCAGTTTAAGTACAACCTTAAAAAAACTCTTAACAATATTCATTCAAATCAGTCATAAACACAGAACAACATATTCTGTTTTTACTTACTTGTTTCCATTACATAATTTTTGCAATGCATCCCTTGATATCACATGTCCACAAATCAATCTCATTGGGGGATTATTTTTGGTTGACTGTTGTCTTAAAATAGGGCAAGCAAACATAGAGTGATATCTATTATCTGTTCCTAAGTCAATTTCAATCTAAAAATACAAATCTATAAATATTTCATAACTAAAATAACACTAACGTTTACAGGTAATTCTTCACTGCCTTTCCATATTCCTGTTACTTGTCGCTGCATCATGACCTGTTTGATATTAAGTAGCGCAGGTATAGTTTGACAACCAGCATTTATACATGTAATTAGTGGACTATTTACACATACACCCAGTAATTGGCAAGCATCTCTAATAAACATTTCATAAATTTCCAGCCACATCTCACTATCAGAAGTAAAATAGGTGCTATATGGTGACTGAGTTATATCATTTTGTACATAAAGAAGCATTCCCATAAGTGTTTGTATATCTAAAAGCCAATACTTAGTTATAAAAATATTTTATACCATACACATCATATTTAAGTAGTATTTAATAGTGAAGTATATAAAGGCATAGAATATGATTTTGAATGTTATGCAAATATAAATTTAATTTTACCTATTTTTTTATCAAATTTTAAATTCAAGAACCTACCTTTTTCATGACGTTGGACAAATTTTCTAAAATAAGTTCTGGCATAGGTGATTGCATCTCCTTGGTAGGCTGGTCCTTTTCTAAGCAGTTCTATATATTTTAATTTGTGAATCATAAATTCTAGTGAAGAATTTTGTGCTTCTAATGCATAATGATGAGCAGTTGCCCAAGCTAATAAGGGTTCTAGGTCCTTATTTTTAAGACTTTCTGAGATATGGTGCAATTCAGTAAATGGTTCCTTTTCGTGGCTTTCTACATTTATATCTGATTCATCAGCTAGTGCATCAGCAATGTCATGCATACCTTGTCTGTAAAATATTTTATTTTATAACTTTCAATGTTCGATCTATAGTAAAATGTTAAAAAAAGTCACTTTACCTGTAATAATGTTGGCAAATAATTTTATTAATAATTTGGATCTTTTCTGCTGAATTAAATACATCTTCACGGCTACAAGCTGCAAAGTCTTGTACAAAATTTCGATCTATAGATTTGCCAACTTTAGAAACTGAGCTATGTAAATCTCTGTGTTCAGTTGCTAAACGTGAAATGGTATCTTTAACTTTAGTCATTGTCTGTTTGAGCAACTCCTGTTGAACATTTGTGAGGACATGATCCTCTGGAGCTAAAAAATTGTTCAGTAAAAATTAAAATATTGCTTGTTTTTATTAAATATTGTAAAATTAATTATCCAAATAGATATTTAAAAGAATTTACCGAATTTACTTAATCAAAAATATTTTGTACGCAATTATACACATTGGCTAAAAATAAAGACACAAGGTTTTAAACAAAGACTTTTACTACGTACCATTTTGTAATTCATTCTTGAGGTCGTCAAGTTGATTTACTAATTCAGATAATACTCGGTTTGAATGATCATTGATAGATTCAAATTTTGTTAATACTTTATCTACATCCTTTTCCACTGCTAAACAAGCTTCCATGTTTATTTTTCTTAAATTTTAATAAAAATACAAAGTACTAAACGTCAACGGTTCATTGACTTGCTGACGTTGACATTCTAAATGCCAAATGCCAACGGAGATTTTCGAGGAGAAAGAAATGCTTTGTAGAATCTATGGGTAGAATCCTTTTTTATGTACGGTGTATTTTAAGTTGCATAACATTAATCGTCAGAAAATTAATTGTCTACGGAAAAGATTAAACATAATATAAGAAAAATAATAAAATTAAAACTAGGTATATTATAAACGTTCGATCTACGCGAGGGTGTTTAAAATTCCATGGCAAATTTTCTGAAATATAAAATAAATTTTCTACGTTTTCGGTTTTAAATGGAACACCTTGTATGTTGTATGTTATTTATTTGAGATGAAAGAATTAAAACATTAACATTTTTTATATTTAAATTGTATTAAAATTTTTAAGATTACGTAGATATTCGCGGTAATTACATATCTTTTAACGGATCTATATCTCTGAAGAAGACATGCTATTTTTTTTCAACGTCTAAAATATTTTTTTAAACAATTTCAAATGTTGCAATTAATATAAAAAGATTTAAAAGTAATAGGTACTACTACGATTTAAAAAAAAATCATCCAGAATCACTGACACTTTTTTGAGCCCTCCTGTAGAAGTTAAAATATTTTCCTGAAATACATCCTGCATAAATATTATATGTATACATATTTTAGCGTTGCACAAACAAGATTCACAATTTTTTATTCTACGAGCTACAAAAAATGTCCGATGCACTATTGCCGGATCCTGTTATATCGAATGTTTCTCAAAAGTAGCTCACCCCTATAACTTTTTTATTTCTTTAGATAAAAAACGAGAGTGGTTACTTTAGTATATGATATAAATTAAGATTGATTGATGTATTCAATAAAATTGTTTTCGGTCACTTCCTGTTTCACCGGGGATTATCTACTATAACTTTTGATTTTTAAATGACACACTCGGTATATTTTTACTTTATTCCATAGAAAAACACAATCTGAAGAGAATGACATATAATATGTCAATTTTTGACACTTTCGCATATGATTTATGTGAAATTGTAACATGCGGTGCATAAAGACAATTTGATACCATACGAAGTGTGTGGTACCCTCGGTGGTACCAAATTATTTGTAAAAAATGCTTTCTCAAAATATGCCAATGAGCCACCCTTGTTTAATTTGAAAAAATTGAGATATGATTAAAAATATGACTTAATATGGGCATCTTTAAACCGGCCAGGACAAGACACGAAAAACATCAGACGATCAAATATATTTTTCCAAGGCACCTTGATTAAAAATTAGTGTTTTTAACACAACCTTGGCACTTTAGATTGAAATTTAAAATACGATTTTTTAAGCAAAACTGTCAAAAGTTGAGATATGTTATGTCATTCTATTCATAGTGTCATCGAATAGAGTAAAAAAATACGGAAGGTGCAATTTAAAAATCAAAAGTTGTAGAAGGGTTGTAGTAATTTTCGGTAAAACAAGAAGTGACATAATTGAATAGTTAATCAATCATAATTTATGTCGTAGACTAACATACCAAATCTTTTGTTATATAAAAAAATAAAAAAAGTTTTAGAGGTGAACCATATTTGAGAAACACCCGGTAGAGAAAATATGTAGTAACTAATGAAATGCTCAAAGTTTCCTCTTCTCTTCTATTAAAAAAAAAGACTAATCCAATTCCAAATACTAAAAACTTGCACGGAAATCCTGGTACCACGAATGAACAAAAGTTTATTATGAACACAGCCCAAATTTCGTCTAAAGCCGCGTCCAAGCTACTCGAACAAAATGTTCGCGAACATATACAGGCCCGGCAATGGATCTCTAGGCATAGGAATTACATGCATTGGAATGAAACGCCTATAAAAAGTCTATGCTTAAACAGAGATGGACAACAACTTTCCCGTTTCCACTTCCACTACGACTGTCTACTTAGACAAACTCCAATAAGATAACAAATTTTGGAAATTCCGCCACCTCCCATCCACTCATGATACCCATCTCCCTGCCCTTTATTTATCGCCATTATTTTATTTCCCTTCCCGCGCCTCCGCACCTCGCTATTCCGACTCCCGTCAGTTCATCACAGAGTTGCTAGGTCTACCGGTTTCGTCTGTAAGCTACCGATCTACCGATTTAAAGAAAAATCTAACGATATATTCAACTGCGTCTTTAGTTTTTAAAATAGAAGCACTTTTAAAAAGCTGACTTATTTGACTAAAAATTAAGCGACTGCCGCGTTGGAATCTGTATAATCTGACTTTATTATTGTTTCATTAAATTTTATTTAGTAATAACACACATACAGGTCATCGTTCTGTCTAGTTGCAGAGTTACAGAGATATTCCTAAAAATCCTTATTACTCCTTATTAGGCGCGGTATTGGCGACATGCCCGAAGAAGTTGAGATCTTTTGAAAAGATTTTATTTCATTCATCTACTAAAGTTGAACCCAAAAAATGTAAACAAAAAACAAAATTTAAGTTAAGAAACAACCTAAATTCGGACAAATATTTTAGTGATTTTCCCGTCAAAAAAATATATTAATATGAAAAAAGAGTTGAGAGTTGCTACAGCTTTCCCATTGAAATGAAATTAATTTTAGATATCACTGATCAAAATTTGTACAAAGGTAAAAAGTGACTGCTACACTAATTTGTGACTGCTATCCCTACTTGTTAAAGTTTTATATGTTTTTATTAATATATTAATATTATTTAATTCAATATTTTTTTTAATATTAAATAATATACCTAGCTATTTCTAATTATTGTTATATTTATTATATTTGTATTTTATTTGAGTGATCTATTATTACGACACATAGGAATGCTAATTTTGGACTTAAATATTATATTTTATTTCGTTTCTGTACTTTTAATTTTTGTTGAAGATCTACCGAGAATTTTGTTCTCGTATGGAATTATAATCTAACAAACCCGGCAACCCTGTTCGTCTACTCCTTATAAAGTTTTTTTCGGCCTAATTCCTTTGACACAGCCGCGGCTTTGTCAAGCGCCGCCACCGACCGGCTGTGTCGGGGCGACTGCTAGGAAGATCGTACAGTATTGCCATTTCATAGAATAGCACTTGCTATTTTAGAAATGATATCAAAGTTTTGTATGTTACTTTTCGTTTTAGAAAGAAGTTATGTGCCTAGAGAAAACATTCTTAAAATTGTTTCGTACTTTATTTAATATTTCATTAAGTAGGCAAGATAATGGGATTAGAAGATTTAGGATTTTGACAAGCCAACATAATTTCGATTTAATTGAATGGCAACACTATCCGTCCTGTTTCTATTTTTCGATTCTGTTCTATTAGTAGGCGGTAGCCCCCACACAAGCGTCTTAAAGACCCGCCCGGCGCCCCCTCTCGCAGGGGCTCTCTCGTCGTATCACTTCTATGATCACTTCCCCTATACGATGGTAGGGAAAAGACACTTTATCCGTCTCTGTTGCACTGCAGTGTATTTTGCAGCCTTACCATCTTTTTTTATCGCATTGAAAACCTATTGCTAATATTCCTTTGCCAGTAGTGTATAATTAAACAGATACTAAGTAAAAATTGTGAGATAGGTAGATTTATAAATAATAAAGCCAACAAGTACAGCTAGCCTAGGCCTATTAAAGGTGCGTATTCACTATCCGAACGAACGAACGAATGTTCATTCGTTCGTTCGGTAGTAGTATGGACGGGACCGGATTTTAGAACCAAACGAAAACACCTTAACCCATTCGTTTGCGAACGCCTTTGATGTACCGACTCGAAACGGATGGCCGAGCGAACGAACAAACGAACGACCGCATGCGTTCGGTCCACCGTCCAAATATACCGAATTCCATTCGTTCGCTCGCTCGCTCGTTCGTTCGTTCGGATAATGAATACGCACCTTTAAGGAGCGCGGAGCGCCGAACGGCTAGCTTGAGGTAAGCGCGCATTTGTTCGCACCGAACGCAACGGACGCATCGGACGAATCGCAATATATTTGTTATCATCACATATTATATTCGGATTTTCTTCCCGCATTTTCATTTTAGTGCAATCCTCGAAGCGGGCTAATACGAAACTTCTGTTTTTCACGTTCGCTTCCCAAATTTAAAACGAGTAGTATTTCTGATGAAGAATTATTATTTGCAATTGCATGTGGCATTTGAAGAGGAAGAGCAAAGGAACAAGAAAAAAAAAACGAATTTGGGTCCATAATGTAAATATGAACCGTATTTTTAAAAAGATGTTAAACTGATTTTTCTGCTGTTTAAATATACCTATATGTTAAAGATTTATTCTATTATATTGCGTCTACGTACCTGGTTGTTTTATTATCTGCCCAATTTCATCCCATATATTTTGGCGTTCTTGCTGATTACTGTACTATTTGTTTTTCAAATTATAAAGTTCATTTTATTGTTGCACTAAACTTTTAGGCATCTGCTCAAAATAACGTTAAAAACAAATCAAATTCTGCAAGTCGATTCCTGTTTACATCGCGCATTTCATCGAATTTGCGAATGACGTCATCCGCACGCATTGTATATATACGGATCAAAGACATTATAAAGATAGACCGAACATCTCATTCATAAATACTCGTTGGTAGTGTATACTCTGTTTTTTTTCTCAGGTAAGATTTCGACAGACGATGACAGAAGAAAAGCAGATGACGTCCCATACCAATCTATTTATTTTACTAAAAAAAGTTTCTAATAATTTTTAAGTTATCTATGGATGGGTTTAAATATAAATCCGTCATGCGTCGTGTCTTGTTGTTTTTAACCAGTTTTATTGGTTTATTTAAAAAATGACAGATCGTATTTCAATTTTATTGGTTTGAGGGAACGATGAACGATAAACGGACGCCGATGCGTATGAACTCGCCTTTAGATTTTTGTCATTTTTGACGCTTGTCAAAGTCTTGCCAAATTATAGGTTATAATTTTGTGTCAACTTTTGTTAAATACCCTGCGTTTTGGAAGATGATGCATTTTGATTCGTATTATTACGTGTGTTTTGTGTCTTTTGAAGTCAAGTGG